GACCCCGCCCACTTCCAGGATTAGCCAATCGCCGGGCACCTGGGGCGCCTCTCCCTCCGAGGGCCCGCCCCTCTGGGCTCTTCTTCCGGGTGGGGCCGGGGGCGAGGCGATGGCGCCGTGGGCGCTCCTCAGCCCCGGCGTCCTGGTGCGGACCGGGCACACGGTGCTGACCTGGGGGATCACGCTGGTGCTTTTCCTGCACGACACCGGTGAGCCGGACCGCGCCGCCCGGACCGCCCGCCCCCGTGGCTCCCCAAACATTTGGGTCTCACTGGGCCCCCCGCCGAAGCCCCAGAGACCCCGGGGTACCGCCCGCCTCCGCCGGCTCCCTTCTGTCATTCCAAGTTTCCGCCTAATTCCTCAATTCTTCCCCGCCAGTCCCCAGTTCCTCCCAGCGTCTTCCTGGTCCCTTCCGGGTGCCCTGTCCACCCCAGAACCCGTGCGATGGCCACCTGATCGATGACCAACTCCAGTCCCCATCTCCCCTGATCTCGGGATCAACCGATACTTTCTGGGAATTGACTCCCAACCTTCCCTCCGTGTGATTCGGAGAACCAACTAGATCCGGGGCTGGCATCCCTCCCAGCCCCGTGGCCATGCGCTGCCCAAGTCCAGGCTCCCCATCCTCAGGCGAGAGAGCACCTCACAGGGGAGTGGCCGCTCCTCCATGTCCCCGCCCTTGCTTCTTGCCCTGGGAGCTCTCACTTACCCCACAGACTGCCCCCCTTCCATCCCTCCCTGAGGTCCCCACAGGCGCCTCCAGCACAAGGTCTCACCCTCCCTCCCTCCCACTCCACCCCCTTGCTCCAGCCTCATCCCCTGGTGTTCTCACTTTCCTCCTAAGACCTTCTCAAGTCTCCTCCACAGTCTTTGCCCTTTATTTTTTAAAATATATTTTTATTGATCATTGATCGGCTGCCCCCTGCACACCCCCTCCCGATGGAGTCCACAACCGGGGCGTGTGCCCTTATCAGGAATTGAAACATGACCTCCTGGTTCATAGGTCCATGCTCAACCCCTGAGCCACGCCAGCTGAGCCAGTCTTCTCCCTTTAGCCTAAAAACCTGCTCAGTCTCCCCCAGAAAGAACCCCCCTTTTTCCTCTGCTCCCTTTTACAACCAGAGTTGTCCACTCCACTGTCTGGCTATCTCACTCCCCTCGCCTCTCAGCCCCTGCCTCTCCCACATCCTCAGTTTCCCTCATTGGTCTGGAGCCTTCCCTGCCCGGGGCTGCCGTCTTGGCCCGTGGCAGCATCTGAGCCTGCCAGTCCCGCCTTCCTGTCCGTCTCATGAGCATCTCAGACCTGCCTGGTCCCCCGTGGTAGAGCCAGAGGCAGGGGCCCTCCTTCACTCCCTAACCCCCTGTCTGTCCATCTCCTCCTCTCCGCTCTGGTCCAGCCACTGCCTCTCCCTGCGGGACAGCCCTCTGCCTCCAGGCTTCCTCTCCGATCACCTTCTCTTCTCTCCACTGGGGAGGTTTCCAGAAGCAGATCTGCCCTGTGACCTTCCCTGGTTCCCTGTCGCCCTCCGGAGGAGAGATGACTGCCTTTTTTTCTTTTTGCTGGCCCTGAATTCCTGTACCTATGCAGGAGACACACCTGACCACCCCTCAAACCCCACCTCCGGGCCTTTGCTCCCCACCTCCACCTGTGCCCGCCCACCACCTCCGCCCACACCGCCTGTCCCCCAGCGGCCTCTCCCTCCGGCCTCTGCAGCTCTGCGGCGATGGGAAGAAGAGGGGGCGCTCCTCCCGCCCCTCACCTTCCTGCTCCTCGTGCTGGCCTCCCTGCTGCTCTATCTGGCCGTGTCACTCATGGACCCCGGCTACGTGAACATCCAGCCCCAGGTAATGGGGGGGGGGCCTGAACCCCTCCTCCCACCACAGGGGACCCACAGCCCCAAAACAGTCTCGTGCCAGGTTCTGCGTGAGGGCTTTTCTGGGGCGTCTCAGGGAATCCTCTCACCAGCCCTAGAAACGCTTCTATGGCTCAGAGAGGGAAAGCAACTGGCAAAGGTCACACAGCCTCCCTAGGTCCAGGGCACTCTGCCCCACTCTACCGCCAACATCACACATGGGATGGCCTCCACAACGTGTTCGCCAGCCATCTGCCTCCCAAGGGGACCCCTTCTTACGCCCCGGCCCCCATTTTCAGGAGGAGGCCAAGGAGGAGCAGACGGCCATGGTTCCTCAGGCCATCGCCCTCCGGCGCTGCAGACACTGCATGGTGCTGGTGAGTGGCTCGGGGACTTCCCGGAGGGTCAGGGGTCAAGTGGAGACGGACCTCACCCCCCAGGCCCCCTAGGTTCAGGCCCAGCCTCCCACCCTCACCGCTGCCCGCACTGTCGATCTGGAGGGGGAGCCGGTGCTGAGCCCCGCTCTCCGCCCAGCAACCCCTGCGGGCCCGCCACTGCGGTGAGTGCCGCCGCTGCGTCCGCCGCTACGACCACCACTGCCCCTGGATGGAGAACTGCGTGGGGGAGCGGAACCACCCGCTCTTCATGGCCTACCTGGCGCTGCAGCTGGTGGTGCTCCTGTGGGGCCTGCACCTGGCATGGTGGGTCCCGCCCCGCCCTGTGTGTGTGTGGGGGGGGGGGGGGAAGAGCCCGCAAGGTGTGCACAGCCGGACACCCTCTCTAGGGGGCCCGGACCCTTTCCCAAGCGGCCTGCCCTCCTGGGCTCCCTGGGGTGCCCCTGCCTTCTCCCTGCTCGGGGCCCCCATCCCTCTGCTGCCCACCCCGCAGGTCCGGCCTCCGCTTCTTCCAGCCCTGGGGGCTGTGGCTGCGGTCCAGCGGGCTCCTGTTCGCCACCTTCCTGCTGCTCACCCTCTTCTCCATGGTGGCCGGCCTGCTCCTGGCCTCGCACGTCTACCTGGTGGCCAGCAACACCACCACCTGGGAGTTCCTCTCCTCGCACCGCATCGCCTACCTCCGCCAGCGCCCCAGCAACCCCTTCGACCGGGGCCTGGCCCGCAACCTGGCCCACTTCTTCTGCGGGTGGCCCTCGGGGCCCTGGGAGACCCTCCGGGCCGAGGAGGAGGAGGAGGAGGAGGGGGAGGGTGGCGGCCAGGCTGTTTAGGGTTGCAGGAGGCAGAGCCACCATCTTGTGCCTGAAAACGAAGGGCAGGCCCCGAGGGCCTGGGGCTGCTCGCTTCTGCCCGCACCTCCCAGCCTCCGAGCCTCCGAGCAGACTGACCTCCAAGGAGGGAGGGAGGAAGAGGACCTATTTGGGGCCAGGGCACCTGTGCCCGGGACATCCGAAACCTCCACCCACCCTCCAAGCCAGAATCCCTCCAGTGCACAGTTTTATACATTTAATAATCCATAAAGCAAGTCAAGTATAAAAACCAAACCAAACGACTCCTCACCGGGCCACCCTTTCTGTCCACGTCTGGCTGAGCACGGGAGGGTGGGGGGGAGCACCAGGCCAGAGGCTGAGCCGAGCCCCCTCCTCGGGTCCGAAGGGGGATAAATACCAGGCGAGGCCTGGGCCTCCAGGGCAGGGCGCACAGCTGGGCAGACGGGTGGGCAGTGAGGCCCTGAGAGTCCGGGGGACGGGGGCCAGGGACACGGGGAAGGCCCTCAGGGCTGCAGGAACCGCTCTGCCACGAAGTCGAAGTCCCGGAAGGCAGCCTGCTGGCGGGCAGTGAGGGGGCCTCGGGGGTCCGGCGGGGTCAGGGCAGGCGGCAAGCCCGTGAACTCGCCCTCGAAGTAGCGCAGATCCGTGGGCCCGCAAAGGGTGGGCGCGAAGGGGGGCTGGACGGCGCGGGCCAGCAGAGCCTGCCAGTCAGTGGTCTGGGGACAAGGGCAGAGGTGCCTGAGCTGCCGGCAATGGCAGCCCAGGCGGCGCCCCCTCCCGGCCCGCTGGGCCCCGGCCACTCACCCTGAAGAAAGGCTGTGTCTTAATCTCCTCCGCGTCCTGCTCGCCTGCCCCCAGGCGCTTCTCCGGGCACTTCTGGAGGAGCTGGGCGAGGGCAGGTGCTCACCCAGGGCATGGGCCCCGGGCACTGCCGCCTCCCAGGCCCCCGAGGGAGCTGGGCCCCGGCCCCCAGGAGGGGTGGTGGCTAGAGAGCGGTGAGCCAGGAGCAGCTGCCCGCCCAGCCCTGCACCTGCAGGCAGTTACCTTCTGAATGAGCTCCAGCCCTTGCACCGACAGGAAGCGGGGGTACGGGGCCTCCTCGTTGACGATACAGTCAAACACCTCCTCCTCGGTGTCCCCTGGGAATGGGCACTGCGGGGACGGGGGGCTCAGTGGGGTGCACGGGCCACTCCCAGCCCACCCCGACCTCTAGGCCCCGGCAGCCCAGGCTCGGCACTCACCTCACCCACCAGCATCTCGTACAGCAGCACGCCCAGCCCCCACCAGTCCACGGCCCGGGTGTAGGCCTCCTGGGTCAGCACCTCAGGGGCCAGGAACTCGGGGGTGCCACAGAAGGTGCTGGTCCGGTCCCCAAAGCCAATCCCTGCAGGTCAACAGCCACACCGGCTCAGTGTGTCTGGTCCACAGTGATCTCTGTGGTTGTAAAAACCAACAGCCAACCCTTCTGCCCCCCCCCCGGTACCTAACCCGTGCCAAGCCCTGCGCCCTACTCCGGGAGGTAGGAATGGATTTTACGACGTCGGAAGGAGGAGGCCAGGCTTAGCCAAGCTCACATCCCAAGG